CAGCGGACAATATTGACTTCCTTGAAAACACTGCCGACTGTCAGAACACTCTCCATGGTACCATTCTGGTAATCAATCAGAACCAGGGTGGGGATAGTGACTCAACCACAGGTCTCCCGGTCAGTGAACCACTCCGGATTCCAGACGATGTCAAACCCATTGATGTAGACATCAAACTACAGCATCCACCATCTCTTGAAGTCAAAACAATCACTGCCAGTTCATTTGAGTTTGGCTCCTTTCAGCATGCCATCAGCGAAAATGAGATGTATGACAAGGCGTGGTTCATGGCATCCTTTTCTACAAGGTCAAGTACAACTTCAAGTGCAACACACCCTGTAGCTGCAAATGAATCTCTACACATTGATATTTCTCAACTGACTGAGCCTCTTGATAGTCAATCACCGCTTACAGAACAATCAAGTGATGATGAGACTAGCCTCCACGTCCATTCTGATCAGAACAGTGATACACAACCTGAGGACGAGCAATCTTTGGAGTCGGTTACTTCAGGTGCAACTTTTGAACATTACCTTGTTTCGGATATTGAACAGCCTATGGCAATGACAACTCCTAGTCTAGACAATTCAGGTGGGAATTCCAGAGTCTATGGAATTGAACAAAGTGAAGGAAGCACTAAAACTTCTGAAGGACCTGGTGTACACTCATCAGCCAAAGCACTGAAGAAGACAGTAGTGCCAACCTGGGCAGCCACCAATTCCTTACTCGTTCAGGCACAGCAGAAAGGAAATCAATCCTTGACAAAGAGTGCGATTGTTGCTCCTCTGTTACGCCGACCTCCCACTGACTATTCATCTCTCTTTACAATCTTAAGTCTTGCTCAAGGGATATCAGCTGCTGTGGTTGGTCCTCATAAGAAAACAGTCATCACCCTTGATCTTGATTTGTATGAGAGCGCAACCAAACTTCAATCTTCCACAGGGAACAAGAACTGGATTCTTCGAATTGGTGAACTCCATGCCTGCTTCGCATCACTGCATGCAATTGCAAAATATCTCGAGGACAGTGGCTTGGAATCTATTAGCATTGAAGCAGGCCTCTTTTCCCCTTCAACGATCCGCCAAATATTCACTGGAAAGTGGTTCAAACGTGGTATTGAATTCCACATGACCAACATCATGGCGTGCTATGATCTCCTGTTTGAAGCATCAGTACATCATGAGCACTTGGACAGCATGATTAAGAAATGCGAAGAGCTTCGTAAGAAGTTACACGAGAGAGATAGTGACATTAAACAGGTTTTTGAGGAGGTAACTTCGATGATTAAAGAGCATTATCAAACCACAAAATTATCCAAGAGAATGACGAGATGGCAACATTCTTACTCAACTACATGAAGCAAGTTGAGAGTTTACTGCATGTGATTCGAGCTAGCAGACAGGGGAACTGGGAGCTGCATCTCGCTTCCATGGAAGAGCAGGTCAAGTACTACTTTGCACATGACTTATACAAGTATGCTAGGCTCGTGCCAATCTACCTTCTTCAAATGCATTCGCCGAAGACATCTGATCCTACTACTTGGGATGCACTAAAGGCAGGGGACTTCATGGTCACTAAATCTGGCATCCCATTCACGAACCTATTTGTTGACCAAACATTAGAACAGCTGATCAGGGAAGTGAAAGTAGCTGGCGGCATCACTGGAATAACACAAAATGAAGAAGCACTGGGTAGGTTTTTCCTGACTTCCAAGATGCTTACTGTTGTACCACCAATGACTCTCAAACTACGAAGGAGCACTATCAGCTCAGTGGTTCTGTGGCTCTTCGCATGCACAGAAATTCCTCAACAATCAAGAAAGCAATCATACGACATTGCGAGGGCAATCCATTTGAAATCAGGTCAATGAAGCTGATGAATATGGTATCTAACATGCAAGTTCCTGAAGCTTTCAAGGAGGACATTCTTGAAAGAGATGTAAAGGGAAAGATCATGTTCCAAGAATTTGTATCTGACAGAATAGTTGAGTCATCGGCCAAGAAATCTATCTGGGACCCAATGAGGAAGGCCAAACTGAAGACATTCAGCTCTTGCAGAAAGAAGACACAGTGTAAGATTGGAGCCAAGCTCGTCAAGCTAAGAGAGGATCGCCAACTTCTTGCAAGATTTCTCGTTGTTCAGCAGTCCAGACCTGGAATGATACATTCACTGGGTGACACAATTGGAAAATATGAATTTTCTGTCATTCCTAGGTCGCTATTTACCTCAGATGGCCTCTCCTTATCCCATCAGACAAAAGCTCTTTCATCCATGCCATAGAAACCTATGGAACTGAACCGAATAGTCAGTCTGAAGACCAGATCAATGAGCAGCAAGATTCACCCAACATAGAGACATCAGGAGAAGACAAGAAAACAGACAAACTGTGCATCATCGATGCCATGGCAGTTGTCCAGGCCATAAAGAAGTCCCCATCAATGGTTGACTGCTCCGACTTTGCTGCTGCTTTTGTTAGGAGCATAAGGAAAATTGCATCCCAGTACTCAGTACTCATCCCATTGCACGTACTGGATGCTACCTCAAAAGCAGCAGAGAACATCATAGATATTGATGTTTATTCTCCAGACACTGACGTCTTTGTATATCTGATGGATCTTTGTTCTACACACAATGTCTTAGGTCGCCTTTGCTTCATCACTGGAAAGGGAAATGCGAAACGTACAATTGACATTGCTGAGAGATGTTCTGCAGTTGGTAGCGAAAAAAGCAAAGGTTTGCTTGGTCTACATGCATTCAGTGGTGCCGATTGGGGTGGTAAATTTGCAGGCATCTCAAAGAGCAGATGGATCAAGCAGTATTTGGGCCTTGACCCAGAATGTGACATAGTCCATGCATTCCAAACATTAGGTGAAGAAGACTTCAACCAGGAAAGTGTGTTATCAGTCTTGGAAGACTTTGTCTGCAAGGTGTATGCTAGAAACAGCAAAGCCACAAAAGTGAGTGACCTTAGATGGAAGTTATTCAGGGCAAAAAATCTTGAGGCAGAAAAGCTCCCACCAACCCTTGGATCCTTGACACCACACATCCAGAGGGCAAACTTCGTAGCCAGAGTCAACAAGGGATACAAAGTTCCAAAACCAAAGCTGCCCCCTCTAGATGGAAATGGATGGGAGCTTTCCCCAGAAGGAACATTCAGTGCAACCAGGTGTTTAGAGCTTCCTGCGCCGAAGGCAGTCATGGAATTGGTCAAATGCTCATGTCGGAAGGAATGCAAAAGCCATTGCTCTTGCAAGAAGAACCATCTGCCTTGCACAGCCCTATGCAAGTGTTGTGACTGTGAAAATACACAGGACTATGATGTGAATAGCCCCGATGTTGACTAGGTGAATATAAAATTGTAGATTATAAGAAATTGTTGTTTCAACGTCGCAACTAAACTCACATCCATAAGATTAGTTGTCATTTTAGACACAGTTGTAAGGAGGTACATTTGGTAGACATTTGGTCTTTGAAATCACAATCGCATGATTTATCAGTCTCAGGTTATGCCATGCATTATATGTCATTATTCAATTCAACATATCGCAATATAAAGCAGGAGTTGACTGCCGTGATTGATTCTAGAATCACATGCCTTCCAAAATGATTGATTTCGCATGTTAAGCGCTCCAATACCCAATATGTGTTACAAATCTGAAATACCATATTATGGCGGCCATTTTGAATTTCAAGATGGCGGCTAATTAGAATGGTCATCATTAAACGAAGCATGTATTTCCTTTTAAAGCATGTATTTCATCATAATGATGATACTATAACAAGTTTTAACCTTTCCATGCACTTCTAACTTGATATTCAAGTTGAAATAGGCTTAACAATGGCGGCCATTTTGAAATTCAAAATGGCGGCTTATCCGGAACAAAGCACAATTTCATGGAAATTTGTATTACTATATCAGACATCAATGCCATGCTTTTTATCCGAAATTTGAACCTTCTATGATGTCTATAATATGAAATAATGCTCAAAATGCAACTATTTATGGTGGCCATTTTGAAATTCAAAATGGCTGCTAATTAGAATGGTCATCATTAAACGAAGCATGTATTTCCTTTTAAAGCATGTATTTCATCATAATGATGATACTATAACAAGTTTTAACCTTTCCATGCACTTCTAACTTGATATTCAAGTTGAAATAGGCTTAACAATGGCGGCCATTTTGAAATTCAAAATGGCGGCTTATCCGGAACAAAGCACAATTTCATGGAAATTTGTATTACTATATCAGACATCAATGCCATGCTTTTTATCCGAAATTTGAACCTTCTATGATGTCTATAATATGAAATAATGCTCAAAATGCAACTATTTATGGTGGCCATTTTGAAATTCAAAATGGCTGCCCAAGACGTGGTCGAAAAAAATGGTACCAAAATTTTTTAGATTCAGCACCCCGAAATTGACAAAGTTAGCCAAAAAAAAAAAAAAAATCAATTTTGGCACGATTATCTCACGGGATTTCATAGTAGCCTCTACTATAAATAGTGGTCGGCAATTTTTTCAAATTTCAGGGGGCAAAGTGAAGGGAAAAAAATAGCGCTCACTCCCCCCCCCCCCCCCCCCTGTTAGTGTAAAGATGACACTCTTTATATTAAAATGACCTACATAGAGAAGAGACATTATAGCGTTGAAAATGAGCACGATTATATTCTAAAAGGAGCACAGTTCGTTCTTATTAAATCAAGGGCACAGTGCCCCCTTGCCCAACCCCTCAACGGGGAGCGCCGCATCTGATGCTCAGAAGCCCTATGTGAATGTGCAGCGCTTTGTCAACGTAAGGTTAAGGCGCTATAAAAAAAAATACATTTTGGAAGAGATAAAATTGGCTTGGTTGCAGAACTTGAGGATTTTAAATACGCATGTAATATCAATAATATCACAATAATTATGTGTATAAAGTCCTTCTTACATTCCTGCAGAGCTTTGGTGCTTTGTTGGACAATGTCATTTACCATGTGTCCTAGTAAAATTAACCATCAACTCTCTGGAAGTATCCTGGAGGAATTCGGTTCGTATCCCAGGAGTTGCAGGACATCCAGGCACTCCTTTAAGATTTGTCTCTCTTCCATAACTGTCAAGTCCTTCATCCACTTATTGGCTGTTTTGTGCGCATCCTTTGAAGTGGAAAATAAAGATGTGTCACTGGAGTTTGAATGGGTCATGTCATGGACAAACTTCTTGAGTTCTGGTTTGAGTGGCATCCCGATAAAGTTGTAAATCTTTTCAGCCTCTGTCAAAGGGGCTTTGGCGAAGTCCTCGTAAATAACAAGATGATATCGTCCTTGTAACCATGGAGGCAATGGGTCGGACGACCTCTTCGTGTTCTCCCTGATCCACTGGCACAACCCTCGAACTGTGGGGTTGTTATCGTTAATCTCTTGAACTGGGAGCATGTACTCTGGAATACCATCAAGGAGACCAAGCGGTTTAAGGCGGCCCAAGTTCGGGAAGAAAGGCCGTGCTTCAGCCACATTTTTCGAATAAGACTCAATGTTCATCAGGTAGTTTATTCTGGACGAGGCAGCTCCACGGGGATCACGAACAAGGTGGATAATTTTGAGATTGATACCGTCCTCAACCACCAGCGGCTTCAGAAGGTCTAGATCGGCGTGGATGATCTTCGTGGCTAGTCTACCTTTAAATTCCTTGCAAAAGTCCCCGAGAGCGCTTGCTGAGTGCAATCTGCAAGATGTACTGTTCAAACAGAGTCCTCTGTTCATGGTATATGAACCACCCCAATTACTTAAAATCTTCACATAGTCCGTTTTGAAATCGCACTTGGCGAAACCGCGAAGTATATCTCTGGCCATTTCTTTGTTTTCCGGAGTGTTCTGCCTTACATTCTTTAACTTCCTTAATTTCGTAGTTGGAAAGAGTGATTCGAAGATGTAGAAGAGTTCTAGATTCTGGTTGAAAAGCTCTCCAAGTACAGTGGATCCGAAACGCCATTGCGTCATGAGAATAATAAACGGAGGGGATTCATCCACTTTTGCAGATTTCCTGACATCACTCGTGCCCGTGATTGCTTCGAAAACTGGATTTTCTTTGACGGTGGTGGATGGGTTTGTCGAATATTGTAATTGTATCCCGAATAAAATACAAACACACAATGCAAGGACTGCCAAGGAGAAGCGTCCAACGCGACTTTTAGTAGCCAACGCTAAGGAAAGTTGACGGAAAAACACTGGCATGGTCTGGAAAGCCATTTCTAAATGCTTCAGCACAAAAATTCCCAATTGGTACAATGCCGAGCTTGGTCGCATCTGTTAAATAATATTTTTTAAATAATCGACTCACCGATCACATTTTGGTAGCCTAACTAATTTTCCCGTTCACAAAAATCAGCAAAGTTCAATATTGATTAGTTCCATGCACAGCCCGGTATTTAGAACGAACGGATACAGATGTGTCACTGCATGTAACCAGTGCAATGAACCGGCCGCGATTCTTTTAACGTGTGAAAAAAACCCATATCAAAACGTTTGGCGCTCAACAATGCATGGGCCCTATTGAATTTGAAGAAAATGCATCAGTCATGCTCACAAGAAATTACCTTTCCCGTAGCTCTGCGCAGCCGGTGTCGTTCCACCCGATCCCGGGGGGGGGGGGGGGGGGGGGGGGGGGCGGTCGTAATTTTTCCCACTTGAGCTCTGGACCCCAGTATGAACTCATATGCATACAGCCAATCAGAGCTCATCTCGTCGATAACAAGCTTTACGCGTGCTAAAGATTTTACAGATGCGAACGAAACAGTGTGAAGCTTTTTCTACACACAGACAGCGCCTTGTGCTTTACTTATACAGTGTAAATTTAAGTTTTATGTTCTTCCTTTGTTCTTTCTTTCTTTCTTTCTCTCTCTCTCTCTCTCTCTCTCCCTCTCTGTCTCTCTTCTTTTCCTCTATCCTCTATCTTCTTCTCTTTTACATTATTAGGTGGTCTGTTATCAACAGACCACCTATTGATTTCGTCAGAATTTTCTTTCTTTCTTTATTATTTATTTATTAGGTGGTCTGTCAATGACAGATCACCTATTGTTTTCGTCAGAATTTTCTTTCTTTATTATTATTATTCTTTATTTTTATTTATTTCTCCCCACTTTTTTGTGTAAAGGATAACTCAAGATCGGTTTAGTCAATTTCTTTCAATTTTGGGACGGTCATAGGTCATTGTCATGAGACGTGACAGCAACATTTTCAAGGTCATCAAGTCTTCATGACGTCATCCAGGCGCCATTTTGTGTTTTTTTTGGTACTTTTTACTCATGATCATATCTTCATAACGGAAAGGCATTTCTCATTCATATTTATCATGATTAAGGTCAATATCCGTCCGGTCAATTTCAGGTCAAAAAACGCGCGCGCATGCGTACGTCCGCGCGTCAGCGCGCGCGCAAAAAATAAAAATGCTCTAAATCGTTTAAAATTAATTTTCCATACGTTTCAGGCCATTTTAAGCATTTCGCAAAAAAACGCGCGCACGCACATGCGCGCGCGTTTTCGCGCGTAATTGCATCTTCCAACATAGAATCGCCAATTTTTTTCTGTCATCATATTTGGCACATTATTTCAAGCATTTTGATACCTTGTTCAACTTTTTATGCCCATTAATAACGGAATGAGAGTCCGTTTAAGATAATTACCGTGCGCGCGAGCTTTTGTAATACATAGCATACATGGGCAAAAACATGCCTATACAAAATCCATTGTAGCGCTTTAGGATGTAAGGTGACCCCAAGTTTTTTTTCATATTTTGATAGAGTATGAATCGGAGATATGATTTCATGTTTCATTTGACCCTCAATTAACTCATGACGTCATCATAATGGCCTCCGAACTCAAAATTTCAATTTTCATATTACGACGTCAGCAGATTTTTGGAAAATTGATTGTATCTCTGCAAATGTTGATCAATTTTCTTTCAAATTTTGATATGTTCTACCTTAGAATATTCTCTACAAATGCAGTCTCAACGATATTTCATTTTGACAAAGGCATCATGGCGTATTTTTGCGATTAAAGGAGGCATGTCAATTTTTCACATTTTGCGTGTATTCTCTATGGGACATGACTTTTTCTCAAAACTGGATTCTACATTCTTGTCTTTCGTGAGCAATATCTCCGTCGTTTGATCTTCGTTTACGCTGAGCTTTGAGTATGTTGTAGCTGAGAAAATATGCTATCGTAAGTGTGCCCTTTATTTTTCATTCAGATGCCGGGATCATGCTCATATTTCACTTACAAAGTGGGATTTGAGATTTCCATTTTTCGTTTACGTGTAATCTCTATGGGAAATGTTTTGGTATATCGGTAACGCACTTGACTTCCGACCTGGAGGTCCCTGGTTCGAGTCCGGGCGTCTCCAACAATCTTTTTTTTCACTTTTTTTTTCTTTTTGACCTTTCACTGTACCATCTCCTTTGAATAATAAAACACGTACAATCGCAAATAATGTAATAAACAACCATATTTCCTTTATTATTCCCCTATTATCACTTGATCCATTACTTTTCGCGTGTAATCCTTATAGGAGATGACTTTTTCTCAAATCTGGATTCTACATTCTTGTCTTTTGCGAGCAATATCGCCGTTATTTCGGCTTGATTTTTGTTGATTTTTGAGTATGTTGTAGCTGAGACTATATGCTATCTAAATGTTTTCTCATTTTTGTCAGTCTGATGTCATCATGGTCTGTTGATGATAATCATCAACATCATCATGATCATCATCATCATCATCGTCATCACAATTACTATCAAGATCATCATCATCATGATCATCATGACGATCATCATTGTTTACATGTCTATATAACTTCTCCCTTTCTCAAGATAGTAAATATTATAATCTATCATAAGACTTGAAGACAGACCACCTTATTCGTCCTCGTGACGAATTAAAGTCTAGTTTTTATTTATTTCTCCACTTTTTTGTGTATCTGATTTCTCAATATCCATCCACCCAATTTCTCTCAATTTTGACACAGTCATAGGTCATCATTATGAGACGTGACAGGAACATTTTCAAGGTCATCAAATTATCGTGACGTCATCCAGGCGCCATTTTGTGAAATCACATTTTCCATCATATCTTCATGACGCGTCATCAAAGGTCATTCATATTAATATAACATATACTTCAGGTCAAGGGTCAACAGGTTATGTCATCAAAGGTCACATAAAGGTCATGACGCGCGCGTATGTGCGCGTCAAAATTTAAAATTGCTCAAAATCACTTAACTACTAAAAGAGAGTACGAATCAGGTCATTTGAAGCATTTCAAAATTTTCCGTCCGTAAGTGTCCCCGCGCGCGTTGTGCGCGCTCACAGTGCGCGGAAAAGGTCAAATTCAAAATGTTTACATGATTTGGATTCCTCTTAACGTAATTGACAATTTACATTAATTTCAGTCACTCTTCATATTTCATAAGGCCGTGAGCGTGCGTCAAAGTTCAAAATCCGCGCGTACTGCTATGGGCAATATAATGCAAATTTGATCAAAAACATGCCATTTTAAAAATCGAAATAGCTCTTTAGATAGTCCATTGACCCCCAATTTTTATATCATGGTTGGAGAAAGCATGAGTTGGAGATATGATTTCATACCACCCTGACTCGTAAAAAGTGAAATAAAGTCATCATATTGGCATCTAAACTCAAACAAATGTATTTTGTTGATGACGTCATTTTTGTCTTTGTTTATTTGAGATTATCTCACTTATCGGTCATCGATCTTCTCCCAGATTTTGATATGTTGTAGCTGAGATAATTCTCTATCAGAAATATGCCATTTATTTTTCATTTAGATGACGTCATCATACTGAAATATTCGATAAAAGGCGACAATGCATAATTTGTCATATTTGCGTGTTATATCTATGGGAGGTCACTTTTTTCAAAACATGAATCTGCATGACAATGTGTTTTGACCAGTGTCTCGGTTGTTATTCAAAACAGTTTTCAACCAAATCTTAGTATGTTGTAGCTGAGACTATATGCTATCTAAATATTTTCTCATTTTTTCAATCAGATGTCAGGATCATGCTCATACTTATCATCGTCATCATCATCATCAATATCATCATCATCATCATCATCAATGTCACCATCATCATCATCATGGTCTGAAGATGATCATCATCAACATCATCATGATCATGATTATTATCATCATCATTAACATTATCGTTTTTATCATCATATAACATTATCATTATCATCATCATCATCATCACCTTTACTATCATAATCATCACCATGTTCATCATGATCATCATTGTTTACATGTCTATATAACTTCTCCCATTCTCAAATCTATCATAAGACTTAGACAGACCACCTTATTCGTCTTCGTGACGAATTAAATTCTAGTTAGGTGGTCTGTTATCAACAGACCACCTATTGATTTCGTCAGAATTTTCTTTCTTCTTTATTATTATTATTATTATTATTTATTTATTTTTATTTATTTCTTCACTTTTTTGTGTGTCGGATAACGTAAGATTGGTTATGTCAATTTGATTCAATTTTGGCACAGTCATAGGTCATTATCATGAGACGTGACAGAAACATTTTTAAGGTCATTAGGTTATCGTGACGTCATCCAGGCGCCATTTTGTGAAATCACGTTATCCATCATATCTTCATGATGCATCAGCAAAGGTCATTCATATTCATATCACTTATACTTTAGGTCAAGGGTCAACAGGTCATGTCATCAAAGGTCACATAAAGGTCATGACGCGCGCGTATGTGCGCGTCAAAATTTAAAATTGCTCAAAATTACTAAACTATTAAACGAGAGTACGAATCAGGTCATTTTAAGCATTTCAACATTTTCCGACCGTAAGTGTCCCCGCGCGCGGTGTGCGCGCTCACAGCGCGCGGAAAAGGTGAAGTTCAAAATGTTTACATGATTTGGATTCCTCTTAACGTAATTGACAATTTACATTAATTTCAGTCACTCTTCATATTTCATAAGGCCGTGAGCGTGCGTCAAAGTTCAAAATCCGCGCGTACTGCTATGGGCAATATAGTGCAAATTTGATCAAAAACATGCCATTTTAAAAATCGAAATAGCTCTTCAGATAGTCCATTGACCCCCAATTTTTATATCATGGTTGGAGAAAGCATGAGTTGGAGATATGATTTCATACCACCCTGACTCGTACAAAGTGAAATAAAGTCATCATATTGGCATCTAAACTCAAA